TTAATAAGGTCAACTCACTGAATGAAAGTTTTCTGATAGGGTTATGGTCAGTTTATTCAAGTGCAGGGTCTGCAAAATACCTCAAGAACTGATCTTGGGAGTAGTTTAGGGAGGGTCAGAATCTTGTAGCCTCAGCTGCATGGCTCCTAAACCACAATTTCTAATCTTATGGCTAATGTTAGTCCTACAAAGGCAATCTAGTCCCCAGGAGAGGAGGTCTGCTTTGGGAAAGGGCTGTTACCGTCTTTGTTTTAAACTATAAGCTATATTTAAAGGTTCTTCCAAAGTTAATTCAGCTTATGCCCAAGAATGAACAAGGAAAGCTTAGAGGTTAGAAGCAAGATGGAGTCAGTTAAATTAGATCTCATTCAGCTGGGCACGGTGGCTCATGCCTATAATCCCAGCTTCAGCAAGTTGAGGCAGGTGGTGTATCACCTGAGATCAGGAGTTCGAGACCAGCCTAGCCAACATGGTGAAATCCTGTCTCTACTAAAAATACAAAAAATTAGCCAGGCATTGTGTCACGTGCCTGTAGTCCCAGCTGCTCAGGGGGCTGAGGCAGGAGAATCGCTTGAACCCAGGAGGCAGAGATTGCAGTGAGCTGAGATCACCCCACTGCACTCCAGCCTGGGTAACAGAGCAAGACTCTGTCTCAAAAAAAAAAAAAAAAAAAAAGAGTCCGGGAGGGGAACACTCAACATCTTGCCTTGGGGGAATGGGACAGAGTGGGTGTCAGTGGAGCATAAGCAAAGGCTCTCTGCAGAGCAGTGACTTGTCACTAGGCTTGCCTTGGGTATGGAAATTTCCACCATTAGGCTTAGTCCTTTGGGTAAAGCAGTGTTTAACTGAAATCCCCATTCGGTAATTCATGATGTCATTAAAACTTTGTGGTGGATTATTTATAAATCTTCAGAGAAGGCCTCGGGGGGATGTAAGAGATGCTTTTTGATGATGTGAGATCATTCTAAGACACTAGAGAGAGGGCAGGAGTGGATGAAGCACTGCTAGGGTTCCCTGGGGAGCAACCTCTGGGGCCTCACAAAGGCTCTGAGGAGAGTGACATTGACAGAGAAGGAGGGCAGGCAAGTGGTGCCCTTGGTGGTCATGCCTGCCTGTCCTTCCCAGAGGTGACACCAACGTCATCCCCTTGAGTAGTCCAGTGCACTAGGATCACTGTGCAGATGGTAAGAACACAACACTGAAATTATACCAAGAGTTTTATGTGGGGCTTAATGTGTTAAAACAGTGGAGGGGGGTGCAGGGGCAGGGGCAATAACTAGCAAAAATGCAAATATGTTTACAGTTTGGCCCAGAAGTTCCACTTCTTTTTCCTTTTTTTTTTTTTTTTTTTTTTTTTTTGAGACGGAGCCTTTCTCTGTCGCCAGACTCAAGTGCAGCGGCATGATCTCAGCTCACTGCAACCTCTGCCTCCCGGGTTCAAGGGATTCTCCTGCCTCAGACTCCAGAGAAGCTGGGACTACAGGTATGCGCCACCATGCCCGGCTTATTTTTGTATTTTTAGTAGAGATGGGGTTTCACCATGTTGGCCAGGATGGTCTCGATCTCTTGACCTTGTGATACACCTGTCTCGGCCTCCCAAAGTGCTGGGATTATAGGTGTGAGCCAATGTGCCGGACCCAGAAGTTCCACCTCTACAAATCAATTGTGAATAACTGGAAGTGTATGGTAGCTCACGCCTGTAATCCCAGCACTTTGGGAGGCTGAGGCGGGTGGATCACCTTAGGTCAGGAATTCCAGACCAGCCTGGCCAACATAGTGAAACCCGTTCCCACTAAAAATACAAAAATTAGCTGGGGGTGGTGGCACAGGCCTGTAATCCCAGCTACTCAGGAGGCTGAGGCAGGAGAATTGCTGGAACCTGGGAGGCGGAAGTTGCAGTGAGCAGAGATTGCACCACTGCTCTCCAGCCCTGGCCGACAACAGTGAGACTCTGTCTCAAAAAAAAATTTATTTATTTTTTTTTAGAGAAAGGATCTTACCAAGTTGTCCAGGCTGGTCTCCAACTCCTGGGCTCAAGTGATCCTCCTGTCTCGGCCTTCCAAAGTGCTGGGATTACAGGCGTGAGACACTGTGCCCTGCCTAGAATCGCTATTGTGCTCAGAATATGCAAGCATTAGCCAGGCACATTGGCTCATCCCTGTAATCCCAGCACTTCGGGAGGCTGAGGTGGGCAGATAGCTTTGAACTCAGGAGTTCAAGAATACAGAGGTATCATTTTCTTAGGCACCAAGATTATAGTGTCTAGCTGTATACAGTAAAATTAGTTTCTGCTTTGTTTTGTTTTGCTTTGCTTTTAGACATTAAACGTAATGTTGGAAATAAATGGACTAAAATAAATAGCTGTTTGGCATGACTAGGACATCAGTTATTGTTTTGCTTTTATGTTGTACTTGGACACGCAATTAAGGCTTCTTAGGAGATGCCCTGTTTTGAACTCTTAAAAGAATAAAAACACTCCCCATATGGCTGTGCTAACATACGGTCTCTCTAATGACAGAACAAGACACCTACTCATCTTAAACAAGTTTTAGCATAAGACATGAACAAATGATCCATTAATGCTGAATATTTCTGGGTACATTCCAATGGGAAATGAAGATTTATATGTATCAGGTTGGATGGGCACCCAAAAAATGTTGGCATGGAAATGAGAAAACATAATCTGACAAGGATGTATGTTATTTGGGAGTTGACTAAATGTTACCGTAAATTAGAAGCATGGAACTTTGGGATGATATTCAGAGAGGTTTGGTGTTTTTATCAAAGGAGGATGAACATAAACACACTTAACCTGGCACTTGAAAACTGTTAGCACCCCCTCTGCTTTTGTTTTCTTTGTTTCTTTTTTCTTTCTTTCTTTTTCTTTTCTTTTTTTTTTTTTTTTTTGAGACAGTCTCACTCTGTTGCCCAGGCTGGAGTGCAGTGGCATGATCTCGGCTCACTGCAACCTCTGCCTTCCTGGTTCAAGCGATTGTCCTGCCTCAGCCTCTCAAGTAGCTGGGATTACAGGTGCATGCCACCACGTGGGCCCAGCTAATTTTTTGTAGTTTTAGTAGAGATGAGTTTTCACCATATTGGCCAGGCTGGCCTCGAACTCCTGACCTCACGTGATCCGCCCTCCTCGGCCTCCCAAAGTGTTAGGATTACAGGCGTGAGCCACCACACTTGGCTCCTTCTGCTTTCTTCATGAAGAAAGCCTCAATACACAATCCTCCGTTCTAGATAAATGGTTACCTTTACTAACTTGCCTACAATTCAATGTACTTTTTGTGACCTGAAAATGTAGCAAGCGAAGAATGGTTTTTTGTCTGGATGTGGTGGCTCACGCCTATAATCCCAGCACTTTGGGAGGCTGATGCAGGTAGATTACTTGAGCCCAGGAGTTAGAGACCAGCCTGGGCCACATAGTGAGAGCTCATCTCTACAAAAAAAATAAACAACATTAGCTGGGTGTGGTGGTGCACGCCTGTAGTCCCAAGTACTTGGGAGGCTGAGGCAGAAGGATTGAAAGCTCATTCTTACTGCTATTTCAAAGATGTGGGACCTCAGAAGAGAGGCTCTGTGCTCCCTGTTTAATGATGGCAGCCTCTAGGCGGCTCCCTTTCCTGCCCCTGCCCACCTCCAAATCCCCACACACACAGGCTACGCACAGTTCTTGCTCTCCAAGGCAAAATTTCCACACAAGAGGGAGACCTGATTCCTTTCTCCCCGTGAATCCTGGGGAGAAGTGATCATTCCCTAGAAAGTCCTTTGCTGAAAGTCTGAGAGTCAACAGTAACCCTTCAATTCCTTTCCAATCTTCACTCCAAGTAGTACCCCGCCTCCCCTCCTGGCCTTTGCCTCTGTAAGAATTCTCATACCCTTGGAAAACGTCTTGTGGCTCCAGTTCAATCTTTGCTCATTTTCCTCTTCCAGCTCCAATCTCAATTCAGAGAATGCTGCTGTAACAAAAAGGTGATGTCTCCTCCTTAACCACTCTACAGTCCTGAACAGATTTCAAAGTACATCATTTGACTGCTAAGTTTGCTTTTTTTTGGAAACAAGGTCTTGCTCTGTGGTCCAGACTGGAGTGCAGTGGCACCATCACTGCTCACTGCAGCTTCAACCTCCTGGGCTCAAGTAATCTCCCCGGCCTCAGCCTCCTGAATAGCTGGTATTACAGGTGCTTGGCACCACACCTGGCTATTTTTTTTTTTTTTTTTTTTTTTGAGATGGAGTCTCACTCTGTCACCGAGGCTGGAGTGCAGTGGCGTGATCTTAGCTCTCTGCAACCTCTGCCTCCCAGGTTCAAGTGACTCTGCTGCCTCAGCCTCCTAAGCAGCTGGGACTACAGGCATGTGCCAACACGCCTGGCTAATTTTTGTATTTTAATTTGTATTTATTTATTTTTTAAATGGAGTGTCGCTTTGTTGCCCAGGCTGGAGTGCAGTGGCACAACCTGGAATTATTGCAACCTCCGCCTCCCAGGTTCAAGCGATTCTCCTGCCTGAGCCTCCCAAGTAGCTGGGACTGTAGGCCCTTGCCACCACACCTGGCTAATTTTTGTATTTTTATTATTATGTTTTTTTAGTAGAGACGGGGTTTCACCATGTTGGTCAGGCTGGTCTCGAACTCCTGACCACAAGTGATCTGCCTGCCTTGGCCTCCCAAAGTGCTCGGATTACAGGCATGAGCCACCCTGCCCAGACTAATTTTTGTATTTTTAGTAGGGATGGGGTTTCACCATGTTGGCCAGGCTGGTCTCCAACTCCTGACCTCAGGTGATCCTCCCTCCTTGGCCTCCCAAAGTGCTGGGATTACAGGCGTGAGCCACCTAGTTATTTTTTAATAGCAGTGTGAGAATAGATCAATACATACCTCTTGACTATTGTGAATAATGCTGCAATGAACCTGAAAGTACAGATATCTCTTTGACATAACGAATTTGATGCTCTTCGATAACGTAGCTGGTAAAGCAGAGGACCGTAAGAGTTAAGATAATGAGTCCGGTGGCAGGGTCTGGGAAAGGGGCGGCAGGCGCCGTGTCCGGCTGGGAAGGTGGCAAGAAGAAGCCCCTGAAACAGCCCAAGAAGCAGGTCAAGGAGATGGACGAGGAAGATAAGGCTTTCAAGAAGAAACTCGAAGAGCTAAAAGCAAAGGCCTCGGGGAAGGGGCGCCTGGCCACAGGTGGAATTAAGAAATCTGGCAAAAAGTAAGCTGTTCCTTGTCCCTGAGGAGATGGTGACCCTTTATTTCATCCATATTTAAACATCTGTATTCCCTGCCATAGCATCTTTTGCCACCTATAGCTGGAATTAAGTGTTGTCTTGGAGCTGTTGTACATTTAAGAATAAACTTTTGTATTAAAAAAAAAAGATAGTGAATTTGTTTCATTTGGATATATATCTAGAAATGGGATTACTGGAGTCTGTGGTAGTTCCATTTTTAATTTTTTTGAGAAAACTTCATACTGTTTTCCTTAGCACTTAAAAAATTTTACATTCCCATCACCAGTTGGATTCCAATTTCTCTATGTCTTTGCCAACAATTATTTTCTTTTGTTTCGATAATAATAGTCATACCAACAGGTGTGAGGTAAAACCTCATTGTGGTTTTGATTTAAGAGGGCCTGATTTAAAAAACAAATTTTTATTGTGGTAAAAAACACATAACATAAAATTTACCATCCTAACCATTTTTAAGAGTACAGTATAAAAATGTTAAATACATGCATATCGTTGTTCAACAGATCTCACAAACTTTTCCATTTTTTATCTATTTTATTTTATTTTTTGAGATGAAATTTCCCTTTGTCGCCCAGGCTGGAGTGCAGTGGTAAGATCTCTGCTCACTGCAACCTCCGCCTCCCAGGTTCAAGCGATTCTTCTGCCTCAGCCTCCTGAGTAGCTGGGACTACAGGCAGGCATCACCAGGCCCGGCTAATTTTTGTATTTTTAGTAGAGACAAGGTTTCACCATGTTGGTCAGGCTGGTTTCGAAGTATTGACCTCGTGATCTGCCCACCTTGGCCTCCCAAAGTGCTGGGATTACAAGCATGAGCTGCCATGCCTGGCCCACTTTTCCATCTTTTAAAACTGAAACTCTGTACCCACTTAAACAACTGTCCATTTTCCCCTTACCACAGTCACTGGCAACCGTCATTCTACTTTCTGTTATAAAAGAGCCTAATTTTAAATAAATAAATAAATGGTTTCATCAAATTTTAATAATGCATGCAAAACAGTTGGCACAGTGCCCAGAATACAGCAAGTGTTCAGTGGATGGTGGCTATCAATAATGTCATCATCCGTAATAACCCAGGCATTGTGCAGAGGCTGAAGATTCATAAACAGAAAGACCTGAGGCCCTTGTTCTGGAAGAGCTAGGACAGATGTCCGTGGAGCATATGTTGGAGCTTTCAAACCAGAAAAGAGAAATGTAATTTTTTTTTTTTTTTTTTTTTGAGACGGAGTCTTGCTCTGTCACCCAGGCTGAAGTGCAATGGCACAATCTCAGCTCACTGCAACCCCTACTTCCCGGTTTCAAGCAATTCTCCTGCCTCAGCCTCCTGAGTAGCTGGGATTACAGGTGTACACTGTCAAACTGGCTAATTTTTTGTATGTTTTTGAAGAGACAGAGTTTTACCGTGTTGGCCAGCCTGGTCTCGAACTCCTAACCTCAGGTGATCCACCAGACTCGGCCTTCCAAAGTGCTGGGATTACAGGCATGAGCCACCAAGTCTGGCTGAAATACATATACATATATGTATTTTTGAGACAGAGTCTCACTCTGTTGCCCAAGCTGGAGTGCAGTGGCATGATCTCAGCTCACTGCAACCTCCGCCTCCTGGGTTCAAGCGATTCTCCTGCCTCAGCCTCCTGAGTAACTGGGACTACAGGTGCCCCCCAACCATGCCCGGCTAATTTTTTATATTTTCAGTAGAGATGGGATTTCACCATGTTGGCCAGGCTGGTCTTGAACTCCTGACCTCAGGCAATCCACCCACCTTGGCCTACCAAGGTGCTGGGATAACAGGCATGAGATTTTTTTTTTTTAATTGTACTTTAGGTACTGGGGTACATGTGCAGTTCATGCAAGATTGTTGCATAGGTACATACATAACAAGTGGTTTCCTGCCTCCATCCCCCCATCACCTATATCTGGCATTTCTCCCCATGTTATCCCTCCTCTAGCCGCCCCCCTTAACTGACCCTTGTGTGATGCTCCCCTCCCTGTGTCCATGTGTTTTCATTGTTCAACACCCGCCTATGAGTGAGAACATGCGGTGTTTGGTTTACTGTTCTTGTGTCAGTTTGCTGAGAATGATGGTTTCCAGATTCATCCACGTCCCTACAAAGAACACAAACTCATCGTTTTTTATGCGTGAGATTTTTAAGATGAAAAAATGTAGCTACATTAAAAACAAAGAGGATTACATTCAAAACCAATATACTTAAGGGTGAAATATGAGCTGTTATTAAGCTAATCCAAGAAAAAGAAAGTCTTTTATTATTCATTTCTGCAAATTAAAACAGCAGAGTTAAATGTTTACATGCATTGTAAGATTCACCCTGAATGTAATGTCAAAGGTTAATGTCTGTAGCAAAAATAACAAGTTAGATTAGTTAATTTTGTTCAGGTTTAAATTATTATTAAGAAAGCTAATAACTTCCTGGCTCTAAGTAAAATACCTTTATTTGAAAAAGGAAATATCACACAAGATAATAGCAAGGTGTAAGACAATATGTATTATAAGATCATACTTTCAAAGCTAATGATAAGCAAATAGGTCACTTGCTACATTCAACATATTAATTACTCTTAAAATACGGAGCAAGTATTACTTTTTAAATTAGAAAACATCAATATAGATACTAGAAATAACAAAATAAATTCCTAGGGAAAAAACAGACAATATTTTCATGCAAAATACTTACGGAAAATTTTCTTCACAAATTTACGGAAATAAATCTCTAGCAAGATTGATCAAGAAAAGAATGAGTAAAAGAAAATTAGTAATAAAAAGCAATTATTACTAAATTAATGTAGAAATTCCAAAATAATAAGATAACACTGTTAACAAATTTGTGCCAATAAAGAACACATTAAATGAATAATTAAATATATATTTAATTAACATATTAATTATATATATATATACCTCCAAAGTTGATCCAAGAAAACAGACCAGGCTGGGTGACAGAGCAAGGCCCTGGAGGCCCTGTCACAAAAAAAAAGGAGGAAATAGAAGACATGAGGAGACTGATTAATAACCATGGGCAGAAATTTAATCGGTAATAAATCATAAATCATCAAAGTCCCAGGTTAAGATAGTTTTACAGGTGAGTTTTATGAAATCCTTGAAATTCATTTATGCAAGCTATATCAAAGAATAGAAAGAGAGAGCTATTTAATATATTTTATGAGGAACAAGAAAATTATAGACTAACTTTACATCTAATTGCAAATTCCAAAATTTGAAATAAAATAATGACGATTTAAATGCAATCCTGAATAAAAAAATTATAACATGACTAGGTAAAATTTATGGCAGGAGTACAAGATGCATTGAAAATCAGAACATTTACCAACAGAATTAACTATATCAACAGATTAGAAGAACTAAGACAGCCATGATGGCTCACACCTGTAATTCCAACAGTTTGGGAGGCTGAGGTAGAAGGATTCCTTGAGCTCAGGAATTCAAGACCAGCCTGGGCAACATAGTGAGATCCCGTCTCTAAAAAAGAAAAAAATTCTTTTTTTCTTTTGAGATGGAGTTTTGCTCTTCTTGCCCAGGATGGAGTGCAATGGTGCGATCTTGGCTCACTGCAACCTCCGCCTCCCAGTTTCAAGTGATTCTCCTGTCTCAGCCTCCCAAGTAGCTGAGATTACAGGCATGCATCACCATGTCCAGCTAATTTTGTATTTTTAGTAGAGATGGGTTTCTCCATGCTTGCCAGGCTGGTCTCGAACTCCCAGCCTCAGGTGGTCTGCCCACCTTGACTTCCCAAAGCACTGGGATTACTGGTGTGAGCCACCATGCCCGGCCTAAAATTTTTTTTTTTTTTGAGATGGAGTTTCGCTCTTGTTACCCAGGCTGGAGTGCAATGGTGCGATCTCGGCTCACCGCAACTTCTGCCTTCCTGGGTTCAGGCAATTCTCCTGTCTCAGCCTCCTGAGTACCTGGGATTACAGGCACACGCTACCATGTCCAGCTAATTTTTTGTATTTTTAGTAGAGACGGGGTTTCACCATGTTGACCAGGATGGTCTCGATCTCTTGACCTCGTGATCCACCCACCTTGGCCTCCCAAAATGCTGGGATTACAGGCGTGAGCCACTGTGCCCGGCTAAAATGTTTTTTAAAAAAGAACTACAGGGTCATGTTAGTAGATAGAAAAAGAGATATGATAAAATTCATCACTAATTCAGGATTAAAATTTACAGCAAACTGAGAATGTAGGAAATGGCCTTACCTTGAAAAAGGTATCTGAAAAAACCTAGAGCAAAATTCCTGTTTGATGCTGAAAATAAATAAACATTAACTTTTTTTGTTTTGTTTTGTTTTGTTTTGAGACAGAGTTTTGCTCTGTCACCCAGCCTGGAGTGCAATGGCGTGATCTCCACTCACTGCAACCTCGGCCTCCTGGGTTCTGCTCCATCTCCTGCCTCAGCTTCCTGAATAACTGGGACTATAGGCATGAGCCACCATGGCTGGCTAATTGTTTTTGTATTTTTAGTAGACACTAGAGTTTTGCTATGTTGGCCAGGCTGGTTCCAAACTCCTGGCCTCAAGTGGGTAGCCAGCTCTGGCCTCTCAAAGTGCTGGATTTACAGACATGAGCCACTGTGCCCGGCCATATTAACATTTTAAATAAGACAAATGTACCCATGATAATTGTATTTATTCCAAATTGTGTTAGCTGTCCTAGCCAATGTAATAAGAAAGGAAAAGTAATTAGGAAGCATAAATTGCCAAGGAAGAGACCCAGTGCTGTTAATTCTAGACAACATGATTTGTCTACATAGAAAACTAGGCAAATCTTTAGAATTAGTTTAGCAGAGTTGCTGAATACATGATCACTATATAAAATAATAGTAATATTCCGAAACCCAATAATCAGTTATAAAATGCAATCATGTAAAATATACTATTTTATTACTTTTTTTTTTTTTTAATTTTAGCTGCTTCCATCCTGGTCAAAATAATATAGC